AATGTTGAACAGATTATAAGTGTCATTCGAATAAATATTGACGTTATGACTCCAATGAGATCCAGCGAAACAAGCAACATACCGTGCCCTTCATGTGAAGTTTATAAGCCTACTGATTAAAATGTAACTTAAATATTTTTTCTTAGTTGTGAGGTAAATAAACAGTACACTTGAAATTAAGTAACTCTTGTTTTGTTTGAAGCAACTGTACAGGAATTAGGATATAATTGCCATCTTAATTTTTTTGTCACCAATGAATAGCGTCCCTATTTTTGATATTCGAATGTTTGCAGGTATGTAAATATACAGCATTTGATGGACGGACCTGTCTGGGGTATAGGTTTACGTAAAAACATTAGAAACCATTACTGGACTACATATCCCTCTAAACTACGTTTACGTACAAAGGAACGTACACACCCGCAGGGTTCTGGTTGTCAATTTTAATGTTTTGAGACGAATAAATGAAATGAAATGAAAAAAAAGCATATAATTGTCAACATAATCATCATTATAATTATCATTATTAAGTGCTCATGTTGTGTAGATCACATGTGAGCAAAGTGCTGTATCAATTTAGTGTGCAGTCCACGAAAATATGTTAAAACCCTATGTGTGCATCCACCGTACCATCTTTGACTGCAACACCCGTTGTTATGTCCTAATGCCAATCATCTGTAGCAGCGATCATGGCACCAGAAATTTGCAGACAAGGGGTCCGACATGTCCGACGGAGGGGTCTGAGCCAAGTAAGCGACGAAGGCTTGGAATAAAAACTCCCATGTAGGCTTCACGAGGAAAGTTTATAGCTTAGTATGGTCCAAAATGTGCTTTTTGACCACTGACAATATTAGGATTGGCAGTCAAAATAACGTCAGTTGGATATGCAAATTTTTATTTTTTTTATATTTGATCCGATGACCTAGTCGTGCGTCGAACAACAGGGGGGCGGGGGACCCAGGCCTGCCCACCTCCCCTGGTGCCACCACTGTATTGATCTGTAAAGCCAAAACTGAGCATAAAGCTGTATAAAATGAGAGCTTGCAGTGCTTTTTACAAGCACACAGGAAATGTAAAATTTGTTTTTGTCCTCCATTTCTTTTGTTTATCCAACCTAATTGTAGAAAAATGTTCAGTCAACAAATGGATTACAACATACATGCTTTTTTTTTGTAAGGGGTCCTTCGATTTGTCAGTACAACAAATGGTGGACAAGAGAGGAAGATGATTGGAGGTTCCCAGCAAGTTAGTCAAAAGATTGCTGAAAAACTAGGAGGTAAGTGTAGTAACTGCAGTCAACCCAAACCTAAACTGTTTCTTTCAATTTTCGCTTTATAAATATTGAAGCTGTCCTTGTACATTTAGTATCCCAAAATTAAACTTGAAAAAATTAGAAAGAAGCAGATTTCAACTGATTTGTGTAGGGATACATACACCAAAAAAAAGTTAGGTGGGCTAGGAGTGTTGGGGAAAATTTTTTTATGAGGGGTCAAAGGTCATTAACCCCGGTTTAAAATACTAAAAAATGCATCGCATATTGTACCCTGTGTCCCTGTGTATTCATAACAGATCTCCAGATTTGGAGATCGTGGGTTCGAGTCTCACCCGAGAACAACTTGCGATTTTTTTCGCAATTGTTTTCAAATGTACTCGGTACATTTGCACGTCAGGTAGGGAAAAATTACACCTATACATGTTTCTCCTGACGCAAATCCAGTTATTGTCTATTATTCCATCACGACAATAACAATTACTATCAACACAGCAGTACCCGCTGCTTACTTGGATTCAACCCTGGCCATCAGGCACAAGCTCGGTGGTCTAGAGGTATGATGCCAGGCTAGTGATCTGGAGATTGTGGGTTCGAGTCCCACCCGAGAACAACTTGCGATTTTTTTCGCAATTGTTTTCAAATGTACTGAGTATTCGGTACATTTGCAAGTCAGGTAGGGCAAAATTACACCTATACATGTTTCTCCTGACGCAAATCCAGTTATTGTCTATTATTCCATTATGACAATAACAATTACTATCAAAGTGCAAGAAACACGAACACATTATATAATGCAATATGAATAACAATGACTATTATATTTATACAAGTTGACGGATGTTGTGAAATACCTAAAAAAAGATTCTAGAATCAAGAACATTTTATTGTCCATTTTAAAATAGGAATTTGTTTTTCCTTTGCAATAGTCTTGGTTAAGAAGTATAAAATTACATTAAAAATCACACAACAAAACTACTTGGCAATAACGAGAAATACGTTAAGATATTAACAATTTAAAATAGTAAAGTAGTAAAAAGTCAAAATAAAAATCGTTGTTTAAACTGTATCTCAGAAACAGACCGACCATTTTGTAAATATTAAAACTATAAAAACCTAGCATTTTGCTATAAAATAATGACAACATGCTAATTAAAAACATGTGTTATACACAGGATACAGTATGCATATTTCTCCATGATAAATGAAAATGCAAGAAACAGGAACAAAATCATACTAGATTTGAACTCGTCACTGAGGACGAGTTAGGTGATCCGCCGTACTTTGACCCTCACGAAGCACGCGCGGTTCTGATTGAAAAGTATTATATGCTAAAACATGCTCTATTTAAAGAGTAATTTTGAGCATTTTTAAAGGAATTTTAAAGGAAAAGAGTAATTTTGAGCATTTTAAGGACTTACGAATCTGTACACGTACGTCTTAACGTCCGTGCGCATGGTAGCATTAATACAGTGTCAGAAACCCAACACATGTAATCGAAACGTAATTTCCAGCTTCAGTACGTGCTGTGGGCGTGGAAATGAGCGTACGGCGCGTAAATTTTGGAAAGTTTTGGAATATTCAAAATGACCTGAAATGTGCTTTAAATTATCTGAAAAGTGATATTAACAATTTTAAAATTTTAACGCACAAGTACGAATACCTCATACGACGTGCCTGACGACGGTAATGGCACATGGATTTAAACCTTGTCAAGTTTAATCTAAAACCCCCTGTTGGTTGGTAATGCCACACGAATTTTGCCTTTACAGTATACAAACTATCGGTCTGATAGTGTCGAAATACAGTATGCCGCCCTCTATTTTCAATGTGTTTACATCTTTTAAGAAAGAAAGATGAGAAGGCTACAAAAAAGCATTCTTTTTTAACATGATGACGTCATCAAAATAAAAAATAAATGGAGACGTCCGAAAGAGAATTGATTTAGCTATAACATACTCGCAGGTGGGAGACAATC